TTCCGACACGCCCCGCCCCACCCCACCCCACCCCCCTCTTGGGACGCCTAGGGTTGGAGGTCCAACATCATGAATAGCACATCATAATAAGTCTCCGGAAGACGCAACATTTGAGCAACGCGACCAAGGTTCCAGCGACCTCGTGATGCATTTTCGTCAACCAGAAGTATAAGAGCATTCGGTTTAAAATTAGGTAGAGCTCTGCACCCTTTCTCTCTAACTTGCAATAATGGAAGATACTCTCGCAACCAACTTTCCACAACACATCCGCCAGAAATTTCACCTTCCTTTACTTTCTTCGATGGAATTGTTCTGTCCTTTTAAATGATCAAGCTGGGGGTAAGCAAATAGTCTTTCTGAGCATTATAAAGAGAAAAGGGGTGATTGGTTGAACGTCTTTTGTGGGTCATGTGGTGCCTGTCTCACACCTCAGTTGGACCACCTTGCCGCGACAAAAACTTGTAATTAAAAACTTGTAATTAAAAACACATTATAAAATCATCTATGTCCATTAAGTGGGCCAACTCGAGAAGAATCGCACGTGTGTCCAAGAAGGTTAGCAGGCACCACCAGCGTCCAATGTTTCACTGTACCCCCTCCAAGCTTGACGTACAAGGGGCCAAAAATGTCCATTCCCTAGAAGGAAAAGAGTGGCTGATAAGCCATCATGCGACTTGTCAGAAACGGTAAGATTTGCTGAGGCATTGGCTTGGTATGAAATTTGTTGCAGACAATACATCGGCTGAGAAGAGAGCAAACTACCTTCCTGATCTGAGAATCAAAAACTTTTAGCGTACTTTGGCAATGGTATGTTCACGCCCAAGCTGACCGATCAATTCATGGGTGTGGTGAATCATCGTTCTTGTAGCAAAGCTAGTGATCCTTTGGAGGCTGATCTGATTTGTAGAGTTGATGGCGGGGGTAACACACGCTCTCAAAACGTCGTGGCCATCAAGTACAAAATCGATTCAATCTCGCGATTTTATTAGATGGCTTGACACTACCCTAAGATTTGAAATCCTTGATATCTCACGCATTGGCCGAATGCTGAACGATCCTTGCAATGCCTGTATTAACATCATCATAATCATCTGAAGAAAAACGGACAAGCCAAGCTATGCGGACTAGCTATAAATGTATTCCAAACAGATGAACTAGTGAGCAGTCTGTGAAGAACATATGCAGGTGCTACTGTGAGACGCAGGGATCAAGGGTTTAAACTTTAATCACATGAGACTCGTTCTTTAACTCTAATTCTTCAACCAGAATATTTCCGAGTGCTGCGTTAGGCCAGCTGGACTCAGGTCGCCATAGAAACTCAGGCCTCGTAGCCATCAGTGATTTAGGTTTAACTCCAAGGGAATCAAGCCACGCAAAATGCCGTCGGATGGATTTAGGAATCCGGCTGAAGTTTCTCTCTTATTTCCTTTACACCTTGGCAACGTCAAATAGAAGGGACGTTTGCATTCTTCAAGTAGTGCAGCACTATGTCGTTATCTGTCCAGTACTTCGTGCATTTGATAAGCAGGTCCATTTTCTTTATTAGCACCTTTTGGGTGTCGACGCCACAGCTGCTTGTAGTTCAAGCCTTGGAATGCTTACAAACTTAAATGGAGCATTTCTTGCCTTTCCCTTGACCAACGAACAATGCTTAAAACCAGCCAAATCATCAACTCTTAGGTATACTGATGTACTGTAGCCAACTTCTGATGTATCAGAGGAAATATGTAGTTGCAGTTTACACTTAAAGCCACCCATTTCGCGTGGGAAGTAGCAACGTGGTAGGCGAAGCTGAGCCAGAGATGGCAGATGATTGGTCCGAGACCTGAAACTAATAAGGAAGCCCTCTTCCAAAGGCTCATCCCAATCCGACTTTGCCTTCCAGATGTCCTGTAGTAGAGCACTAGCAGTAATGGTTTCGTGTGCTGCGAAGCCAAGAAGATCGCACAAGGAACAAATGAAAAACAGGATTCCTCACTTTGTCTCAGGACGAATAAAGTCCTTTATTTAAAACCCTAGTTCATTTGTTTCTACAAACCACCGCACCACAAAGGCTCTCTCCGAGGGTAACTCATTCGAGTCAAGTTTCAGTTCCGGAGTGAATTTTCTTTCGGAAGGTACCGTGGGCAGAACACTTCCAATTTGATGTGAACTTAGTGGGGCGAACTCAACCACGGCCTAGCATTTTAGCGAGATCGGATGCTGTACTGCTCGCTGATTTCTCATCACTGAAGGACGGCTGGGCAACGTCGACGTAAAAGTGTTTAGCAACAATGGCTGTAATCGCCGGGTTGAAACCTTAGGCATTTTCAGTGGCTGTTCTCCACAAATGAGAATTGGCGCTCGATAAATGTGTCTGGTTATTTTTTTCATTTTGTGAGAATTAACTCCAGGACTGCAAAACTGGAAGTAATAAATTTAGGTCGTGACCTCATTTGAGATGCATGGTAATATTATTGACGGGATGGAGGTACAGAAAAATGACATGTGCGAGCATTTTTGGTACCCTATTGGCACATTCAATAAACCAATGTAACATCTATTTCTCTGTAAGTATCCATCAAAGGCGTGGTTCCATCCACAGAAATACACTTCGCAATGTAGCTAACCACAGTGACATTTTGAATTTTTCCATCACTAAAAATGCTCTTTTTCTGACCTTTTTGTATCGATTCCATAGCTGTACAACTGGAAGTACTTGAAAGGAGGCGAAGGACGTCCTATCTAGAATTATTCATAACATTAACACTTATCCATATACAAGAGTTAAAGTACGTACAAGCTTAAACAGTGCATAATTTTCGTAATTTGATTATAATGTATTCCTCATCTTTAAATCTGGAAGTCTCCCTCTGAGGGCGTGCTTCTGTGAATAGTAAATTGCACTATTCTGTACTTTATCGCTCTTACAAATTTCGGACCCGTGCTTTGACTTGAAGACTGTGTTTTTGCTGTTTTAAAGATAGTTAATTCCGTGGCCATAAAACTGGAAGTATTCAGTTTGGGGCGTGACGTCCTATCCAGTATTGATCAAGGTATTCATCCCTATACCTCTGCCAAATTTCGTGCCTTTAACACAATTTTGAGCAATGTTGCACCATTTTCCTATGCTAACGCAACATAATGCTAACTATTAAAATCCTATTTACAATTAATTCACTTGAAAAAAAGGAAAACTATTCATTCAAAACACTATTTACAATTCCTGTCGATTTAAAAAAGCACTTAATTTAGCTTAGAAAGAGTTAATTTAACTAAGAAAAATTTATTCGAATTAAAAACATTTCATTTCAATAAAAAAAACTGTCAGCCTCTAAAATTCCAAAGTTTCTTTCAACTGTTTAAAAAAATAAAATAAAATGAAGACAATTATTAATATTAATAAGAATAATAATAATAGGTCTTTATTGTTTTTTAAGCAAAAATACATGCTTGCTAAAAACGGAGAACACTTGCGTTAAAAACAGCAGAAAAGAGTTAAAAGGCTTAAAAAAATTCCATGTAGAAGCTGTGAATTTAACATTCATATTACATTAAATGGCTACTCTATATTTGAAAAATAGCCTATTAAAAAAACTATTTTTAAAACGCTGGGTATTAACTCTAGGGAGTAGACTGCTTGGAACTCGGAGGCGCTGTGAACTTTCTTTCGTTTTGGGAACAGAAGGGTGCAGTGGGTGAAGAATGTTACAAGCTTCTGCGTATCCAGCTGAGATCGGGGACGCTCACCTGTATTGTCTCTTTAGAGATTGTATACAGCGCGTGTCAATATAAAGACCGCAGGGAATTTTGTTAACCGCTAGCATAAGGGCGAAAAAAATGCTGGGAAATAATTTTCTCTCTATTTCTTGCATTCGCCAAATACTCGAAAAAAAAAAACGCCTCGAGACAGGCTAATGTATAATGGAAAAAAAGGAATAATGATTTTTATAAATTCCTGATTAGGACTAACATAATATTAAATTTCATGTGCTCGAGACCTTCGGCTGCAAGTCAACACATGTACCAGCCCACTTCCTCAACTAATTGAGCTCTTGATGTATGACGCAAAAGAAATTCACCGGAAATATTTAAGACGAAATCCACCAACTGATCAACGCGCGTTGCTATTTGATAAATATCAGTCGTTCGCTTCTCCAGCTTCCTCCCTTTTACCACCTGTTAGCAGCATCCGCAACCGGGAGCCGCAAACCCTAATATCATAGCTTGGGGCCCGTGATTAGCAAAGTAAATGATGGAGTTTTAGAACAAGTTTGAAATAAAACGTACAACATATCGACGAAGTCATGCATTTATTTAACACATTGTTTTGACTTTCAGTGACAAAACATACTCAATATATCTATACACTTGGTTGGCTTTGTAACTTTGAAAGTTGTCTACATATGTCACACGCGCCGTCTTCCATTTGTACGATCTGAAGGAACATTTCACATTTCTCAAATGGGCGTTTTAAGGCAGCAATACCGACAACTTTTAATCAACAACCGAGATATTGAAACCTGTTCGATTTGTTTTCTTAGCACTGTTTACGATAAGCTTATGTGGCTCGATAAATTGCGTTACAAAGGAAGTCTAACGGGAGAACCCAAAAGGAAAAGTTGTTGAGAACACTTAAGATCTTATCGGGCTTTCGTTCATACGCCATTAACGTTTGTTCCTCATTCTAAAAGCTAACTAGCTCAATCATTGATCATTTTTTGTTTACCTTACATTATACCAACTAAATATCAGAAATATCCATAAGATCATGGAAGATCACTTGTAATTAAATTACTCAGTCACACTTGGCATATTCCGTAGATTTTTATTTGTTTAGTGACTGCCTGAAGATGAATAAATTCAGTAAAGTCCAGCTGCCACTTAGTATAGAAGTTAATGTTGACTCTTCCGTGAGCACACTCCAAATACACCGCAAAATATACTGAATGCCTCAAACTCTTACACTACACTCAGCCGTTACTCAGTATATCTGGGGTTTCTTTCTCAGCATTGATTATTCAACTACTGTAGGTGCTGTCATTGGCAGTTGACCTTGTTTTCACTGCCAACTCTTCGATTTTGGACATTTTCCTGCTTGAATTGATTTCATTCCTAGAGAAACTAGAACCCCCAGAAGTTTTCTCCTTTGCCGAAACCACCTTAAAGCCCAAGATTCGCAGAAAAGCTCTTCTGTATGCCTTTATTCGCCACGCATAGATCAGTGGATTTATTCCGCTACTAAAGTAAACCAAGGAGAGAGTAATGTCGCGGGCGAGGCGAAATGCGTAGGTTCTGCAGTTTGAACATTGAACGACAGCAACATCACAAATGAGAAATGGGATCCATAAGACCAATAAAACCACAAGGACCATTAAGACAGTTCGTGTCGCTTTTTTCTCAATACGAATTGTGTTTCTCAAAAGTTGACTTTTTTTCTCTGTCCCGATGTGTTTGATCATGGCTGTATGTTTGCGTATTGCACGGTAGACCATGAAATAAGCGGCCGTGAAGACAACAGTGGGTACGACACATCCTAAACCATATAAATATAACTGAAATGTTTTGTCTCTCCATCCCGCAATAGGAAGAAGAGCAAAGTGAATTGCAATGCCCCAAATAACGGCTATGCTAATTTTTACGTTCCTCTTATTAATGATGTTTTGACTCTCAAATGGCTTTTGGACGGCAAAATAGCGGACGATCGAGAGGGCCATTATGTTCAACAGAGAACAAGAAGCTGAAATGATAGCAAATAAGTAATGAACGAAGAAAATTACATTGTTGCCGTTCCAGTATGTGGCTATCAGCAGAGGCTCCGAAAGGACGCCCATGATGAGATCCGCAAGTCCTAAATTCAATATGTAGTAGTTTTGAACAGCTTGAAGCTCGCGAAAAGGATCCCTCCAATAGGCAACGCACAAAAGAAGGTTCACGGAAATTGTGAACAGAGACACAACTGAGTATACAATGATACCCGCGAGACTTGTCTGGAACCAGTATTCATCAAAGAACATCGTATGTGATGCTGACATTATGAGGTCAACGTTTATGGCTTTTGTTGCCTCCAGAGTTTTTTTCCTTGTTTTCAGAACCAGTAGATAGATCTAGTAGATGTTTTCAAGTAGCCCACAGTGTCTAGTCAATCCGTATTTAGCTGTTCCGCTATAGTTTAGAAAATGGCTCACTGTCTGCGTAAGGGTTTCAAAGCAACCACAACAAATGTCATGCAGAATATTAGCCTCAGGGGTGGGAATGAATATCATTATTCAAATACCAATTAAAATTGCGGACTCAAGGGTCGATGACCTCATAGGATCATCTATCTTGGTAGTGCTCACTTCCAAAAACTAAGAGATCAATAGTACAATAATTAATTAATTTCAGTTCAATCTATGAGTAAAACTTAGCAGTTTAACAGATGATGGGAAAACGTTTCGTTAAGTCGATCGATTTCGTCACGGAGCCTTTTCTATGACGACAATTTTTAGTCTTCAGAAATCTATACTTCCAAGCATTCTTAACTGTATACGTATAACCCACGGCATCGTGTTATATTTCTCATATCAGTTACTAGACATAATATTCGTAATATTCCCTTTGATAAACAAAGACTTAACTTATAAAATAATTTTCAAATCATTTTGTGTTTCAATTGTTTTTGCATATCAAAAGACAAACTCGGATTCAAGTCTAAAACATTTCAGTCGGAAGGCAAATTGTGTTTGCTATTCTAAAACTCACACGATACTTTTTGTTCTGCGTTTACGAAAAGAAGTGATTAAAATAGCTTCTTTTCGTAAACCAGCTTAGCACTAGCCTGCGTAACAAGCGTTTCCGTTTGTTTTCGGAGCAAAGAAAGACCGAGTAATGGGATTTTCGGATTTGGCCGTGCAAGAAATGAAACGTGAGCCAAAAAGAGCCACCCCCTACCGCTTACTCGCGTCATTTTTCGTGCGTTCTTTGACTCTCGCTCCTCGTTCTTTGCTGCGAAACAGCACGGAAACGCTTGTTACGCAGGCTAGCTTAGCACAAGCCTCAATTCAACGGTCAAGTCATGGTTATTTTTTAAATATGTTTTCATACCTAGGGAAGCACTTACGTCTCATCATTGTTAGCCAGAGTATCAGGCGTTTCTGGGTCGTTTCTGGGGAAAAAAGAAAAGATGGAAGCGAAAAAGGGAGAGAGCTGAAGGAGAGAAACTTCCTTTCTCTTCTCCCCCTCCCCCCTTCCCCATCTAAAATCTCCTCTCCCCTAGCCCCTTAGGAAGGCCTGATACTCAGGCTATATCATTATCTGGTCATATGACTGAATGTTGTTCTCAGCCTTCATGACCAGAATTTTCGAATTACATCAATTCTGAAAAAAAACTACTGTTTCCGCCCAAGGGTACGATATGTCCTCGCAAGAGGACATATCGCTTTACTCTTAATTACTGTGTTTTTGCCGCACAACAAAGGTCAACAAAGGAAACAGAAAATGTCATCGAGCGACATGTTATATGTCCGTGCCTCCCACGTACTTTTAACCGGTTTTTGTTTTTATAAATTGGCAAATATTTACACTTTGCTAGAACGTTTAAAAATGATACTTCACAAGCTCGTCACTATAGGGCTTTCTTCTTGTGAAATCAGTGCAAGAGATTACAGTCATAGCGGACTGTCCTTCATGATCGGCACCCCACGAAAGCAACCAGCTCCCATAGATGGCCGTCTTTTCCTAGTCAAAGCCCTGTAGTTGTAACCGCTCGTAATTCGTTTTTTGTAACCCTGTGTGGGCGACCAACTGAGCCGTGGTCTCATCTCTGAGTATGTACTACGCTACCAGGAGCCGATAATTTAATTGGCTCCTGATGCTACCAATCCAGACTACCATGAAAGTACAACCAAGTTGGTGTAATAAGAGGCATCGTAAGATTAGCTAAGATTTTGAGGCATTCATTGCCGAGTATCTAGGGTCCTCAAGGAAGAGTCAAAGATCAACTTCTATACTAAGTGGCAGCTGGACTTTTGTTTTTTTCTCACGAACTCGTGGTTGCGTAAATTAATTTTATTTCCATTTTTATTAATTTTAATGATACACTAGTGAGCGGCACACATACACTTCTAGTGAACATTTTCAACTCGGAAGGAGGAGAAACCATGCTCGCCCGGGACAAAGGAAATTTTCATGCACCGGGCGAGAATCGAACTCGCGACCCGACTTTATGTTTTGCCAACAAGTTGATGATTGGACGCTCTTAAAAATAACTGAGAAAATTATCCAAAGAAATGTTTTTCAACAAAAGAGAAAGAAACCCGGGTTAAGCACTGATCGGCCTTCGAACAACTGTGCCCAGCAGGACATCTATTGCGCCAGTAAAACAAAAAGTTCTTTTTACACGCCCGAAGCACTCTGGTCAGTGTCTCCTCAAATAACAAGCACTTAAGACGAACCACACGATATCACGCTGATCACTAGTCTTCAAAGCCTTTTCATTATAATACACAGTTTAAATCGAGGTTTCGCTGTACGCACCCTTACGTTCAAAATATGCCATAATCATAGTTATCTATCGCAAGAACCATCCACCCTTTCACTTCAACTGCTACCTGTACACATATTAAATTCTGCAAGCATAATACTGCAATGCTGATCATACTACGTCTACTTTTCATTTTTGCTCATCAGGTCTTTATAGATTCTACGTTCTTCGGCATATTCGTTTGCGGTCCTTTGCAGTCCTTTGTGGTTCTGTAAGTCTAGCAAACATATCGAACGCACTCTCCTAAGCTCCGATTACCCCTAGTTAATTATAATGCGAACAGTCTTCTCTTCAAAATAGCTGCCACAATTATTAGCTAGATCATTTGGTGGAGTGGTATCTGGCAACTGGAAATGAGACATCAGACCGCTCACATAGTAGTGACACAACACTCAGCCGTTACTCAGTATACCTGGGGTTTCTTCCTCAGCATTTATATTACTCTCAGCATCTACTCGGTAGGTGCTGTCATTGGCCGTTGACCTTTTTTTCACTGCTAACTCTTCGATTTTCGACATTTTCCTGCTTGAATCGATTTCATTCCTAGAGAAACTAGAAACCTCAGAAGTTTTCATCTTTACTGAAAGGGCGTCTGGAAAAGCAGGAAACCGGAATCCGGAATAGGAACGGGAATGTGAACAGGAACCGGAAACGGAGGAAGGAACAGTAATGTAAAGGGGAACCGATACCAGAACAGGGACATCATTTACCTTAATTTATTTTAATTCTAATTCATTTTATATGAAAAATAAGAGAACTAGCCTGGTATCATGTTCCCCTGAATTTTTATATATTACGGCAACCAGAGGGTCAAAAGAGCAGCAACTTTAATAAGTAAAAAGCCACAGCTTTGCAAGTGCACAACTACAACCTGAAATGATCAAATCCTATAAAGTTCTCTTGAGAACGTATCTGATCTCGGACGCGGTCTCCAGCTTCATTTCCAACCTTTAAAAGACTGGACAATTTGGATGAGCAATAGTTTGAATTAGGACCCGAATTCAATTTCTCAGTGGTGTCTTCGCTGGCTTTGCCGTTGTCAGATCTTAAGGTTCCTTCTGTCTCTCGCAGGAAGGAGGTTATTACATATTAACATTATTTGTCAGACCATGTGTAAACGAGATACCCATCAGAGACGTTTATTGGGCTGCCATACACTTCAGGTTTGCTACATAGATAAATTGCACTACCTCCAAGCTTTATTCAACCGATTGCAATAAGGACCTTAAGCAACGAAAACGTTGACGTCCAGGACGTTAAAAATGGAAACCGGAAGTGGATATTTTCTGTCTTTTAGTGCTCTGACTCATCAAATTCTACAGTGGAAGGTAAAAGGATTTGTTGTGTGAAACAGAAGCGTTCCATCAAGAGCAACACTGAATTTCTGGTTGCTATTCATGAAGTCCGCGACGGTCAGCGTTCTGGTTACTTAAGTTCGCTATTATGTTTGACACGAAAACGCAATGTGTCACTGGGTAAAGATAAAGAAAGGTTATATTGATTAGATTCACATTTCAAGATTAAGAGTGTTTTCTTGTTTCTTTTTTCTCTGGCTTTTCAATGATTATTTCTTTTTCTTCTCATATTTCTATACACTGTTTCAATTCCCTTTTTCCCCTTATTTTTCCTCTATATCTGAATAAGAATTAAATCCAAATTAACTTAAATTAAGATAAATGTTGTCCCTGTCTTTATATAGGTTCCTCTTTTCATTGCGGTTCCTATTCCGGTTCCCTCTTCCTGTTCCTGTTTCTATTCCTGTACCTCTTCCAGATTTCGGTTTTCGGCTTTTCCAGACGCCCTTAGGGAAAGCACCTTAAAGCCCAAGACTCGCAGAAAAGCTCTTCTGTATGCCTTTATTCGCCACGCATAGATCAGTGGATTTATTCCGCTACTAAAGTAAACCAAGGAGAGAGTAATGTCGCGGACGAGGCGAAATGCGGAGGGTCTGCAGTTTGAACATTGAACGACAGCAAAATCACAAATGAGAAAAGGGATCCATAAGACCCAGAAAACCACAAGGACCATTAAGACTGTTCGTGTCGCTTTTTTCTCAATACGAATTGTGTTTCTCGAAAGTTGACTTTTCTCCTCCGTCCCAATGTGTTGGATCATGGCTGTGCGTTTGCGTATTGCACGGTAGAACATGAAATATGAAGCCGTGAAGACAACAGTGGGTACGATACATCCTAAACCATATAAGTATAACTGAAATGTTTTGTCTCTCCATCCCGCAATAGGAAGAAGAGCAAAGTGAATTGCAATGCCCCAAATAACGGCTATGCTGATTTTTACGTTCCTCTTATTAATGATGTTTTGACTCTCAAATGGCTTTTGGACGGCAAAATAGCGGACGATCGAGAGGGCCATTATGTTCAACAGAGAACAAGACGCGGAAATGATAGCAAAAAAGTAATGAACGAAGAAAATTACGTCGTTGTTGTTCCAGTATGTGGCTATCAGCAGAGGCTCCGAAAGGGTGCCCATGATGAGATCCGCAAGTCCTAAATTCAATATGTAGTAGTTCTGAACGGCTTGAAGCTCGCGAAAAGGATCCCTCCAATAGGCAACGCACAAAAGAAGATTCACGGAAATTGTGAACAGAGACACAACTGAGTATACAATGATACTCGGGAGACTTGTTTCGAACCCATATCCACGATAGAACATCGTATGTGGTGCTGACATTATGAGGTCAGGCGTTTATGGCTTTTGTTGCCTCCAGAGTTTTTCTCCTTGTTTTCAGAACCACTAGATAGATCTAGTAGATGTTTTCAAGAAGCCCACTGTGTCTAGTCAAACCGTATTTAGCTGTTCCGCTATAGTTTTAGACCATGACTCACTGTCTGCGTAAGGTCAAGCCAACCCACTGTCAAAGCGGCCGCAATAAATGTCGTTCAGAATAATAGGCTCAGGGTTTGGGAATGAAAATCATCATGCAAATACCAATTAAAATTGATGACTCAAGGTTCGATGCCCCTCCTCAGTGGATGATAGCAACCTCGTTCCCAGGTTCTCGCTCGGCGTGATGATCGATCTTCATAGAACCGAGAGGTCAATCTACAATAAATAATTGATTTCAGTTCAGTCTATAACAAAAACTTACCAGATGATGGAAAAAGGTTTCGTTATGTCGATCATTATTATTGTCTTTTCCTCACGGAACGTTTATGTTATTATCATCAATGATAGCCTGCGAAAACATCCGTTTCTCCTCGCTCTTCGTCGCGTCCCCAGCGGCGAAGAGGGAGAAGAGGGAGAAACGGATGTTTTTGCAGGCTACATCAATGACAGCCTTGGCTATGACGACAATTTTTAGTCTTCAGAAATCGATACTTTCAAGCAGTGATTGTTAACTGTATAACCCACAACATCGTGTTATATTACTCATATCAGTTACTATGAAATGATTTTCAAATCATTTTGTTTTTCATTTGTTTTTGCATATCAAAATACAAACTCGGTTTCAAGTTTAAAATATTTCAGTCGGAGTGCAAATTGTGTTTGCTATTCTTAAACCCACACAATACTTTTTGTTCTGTGTTTACGAAAAGAAGCTATTAATCAGCTTAGCACTAGCCTGCGTAACAAGCGTTTCCATTTTGGTTTCCTCGCTAGAGGACATATTGCCTACGTGCAGACATCTCCTATTTCCTTTGTTGCAGGCGTAAAAAGGACGTCTGCGTAACGCCGTCGCTAATCGTGTTCCACCATCCCGCTGGCAGGGTACTATTCTATTTCGCATAAATTATGAAATAATATCCGGTTACAAATAAGAGTTGACTGGCCTGCAAACAGCAGACGAAGCAATGAATAAGAGAAGACTCTTGATAGCAGACCGAAGACCGGAAATGCGTCTGCTGTGAAGAGGGATAAAAGTGTTCACAAGCCTACACGACTCATGCAGTTTGCGGATGAATAAATTCTAATAAAGCCTTCATAGCTTAGCTTTAACTAGGATGTCCTTTAGGGATTTTCCCTTACGCTGCGGTTGATTTTCTATAAGGTGCCATTTCCCCATGACTGTCATGTGACTGTGTCCTTTAGGTTAGGCAAAGCCGGATGGTATTGTGTTACAAAGAGTAGTATTTTCTTAGGTGCGGTTTTGTTTTTCTGCGCTAGCGACATTTCTCTATCAGAGAATTTAATCTCTGAAAGGTGTTTTTTCTACAATTCTAGGTGGGTAATCTCTATTCTGCAGGCGTGTTTTGAAATTACTCATGTTTTCCTCACAAGTAAATTGAGAGGAATTTGTTCTCAGAAGCCTTAACGCTTCTCCTTTTATAAAGCCTTTCGTGACGCCTGGTGGAGTGACACGAATAGAAATTCGGGTATTAAAAGATTTCTGTAGCTTTGAAATGCGTTCGCACGTCAAGAATAGATTCCTTTTTAGCTCATGGATGACGTAGTCATGCAATGGGCTTTTGGAGGCACTCGAATGGCACTCGATCACTCACTCACTCGATTCTCATTAATTTATTCATTAAAGTCAGATTAAACACGTTACTCCTACCTCCCTTACTTAGTACTACTTTTTTTCAAAGTGCCTTTTACGTATATGTTTGGAATATTCTAGAGCGTACTAGTAAGGCGAATTTTTTTTCCCGACACATCAATTATAGAGATGGGTTTTTAATAAATAACAATATTTTAAAGAACACTGATAACATCATCCGCAAGAAATGGAGGAGAAGATGCGATCAACAGGAGTGTGAAAGAGCTATTGCAGCCTCCTAAAGTACCCCCCCCCCCGGGGATTTCGTTCAGCGAAAAGCGAATAAGCCAAAGAGCCTTATAATCACTGCAAAAAACTGTCCTCGAATTGTTAAAGCGACATTGAGGAGTATCTACTGAGGTTTATTCAGTTATTTGGACGAATCCGTTCGACCATTTGTCTTCGTATGCAAACAGGGAATGAATTAATGTTGTGTCAACTAGAAGCACAGGTTTTAGAACCAACAAGCGTTACGCTATTTTCTTTGAATTCTTAGGTGATCTTTGCCTTAAAGTAGGCTTTTGTTTGTCGGTGATTCCATTTAGCAGTGCTATTAATGTAATTTCTACGAGAAATGCTGCGCTGGTATAAACAAGTCTCTGGCAAAAGGCAATCGGATACTTCGACTGCGTTTAAATTACTTGGCTAGGTCAGAGCACGTACTGCTTTGAGCTTAATCCGTTTTACATGTATTAAAATAATTTTTAGCTCGTGTTTATCAAAAGCGCGTTCTAAAGCAGTTCAATTTAGCCATAAACGCCTGTATTCTGTATTTAATATAGCTCGTACTGCGTACTAACCGTTACGTGCTCATCATACGGAAACATTTATTTGAAAGCAACGCACTTTTAAAACCACGGTTTAAATAAAACTCATGTCTGTAAAACTTGGCTATTTTACAAGAAAGTGCACTGTCGTTCGGAAAGTGTTTGACAGTCACATGAGAAAGCAAATTATTTTACAACTAAAAAGCGTTAATAATTGCTTTTAAAAGTGATCTTTGCTTTGTAAGTAGAAATGCTGCGCTGATAAAAAGTTTCCAGAATATTCAGGTACACAAGCAATCGGATACTTCGAGTCACGCTGTATTTTGGCAAGTCCGTACACCATGAACCGTTCAAAAAGATTTAGATGTTTTTCTTTGATTATTGAACTGTCTTTTCTACACTAATTCAATTCATCCATGAGCTCGCTCCTACGAGCCTTTGATTTAATCTGTCACCTTTGGATGTACACTTTTGAGTATAAGAATGTGGTTTCTGTTTCTGAGATTTCAGCCGTGAATTTGATCGTTGGGTGAAAACTGTTTGCCTTTACAAGGAAATCCTCTATTTTGTCTCTGCTTGTGTTCCACATAGACATGACGTCATCTATGAATCTTTTCCAAAAAATTGGTTTTGTGGTGCTTTGTCTGAGTATTTCTTTTTCTATTTTGGCCATAAATATGTTAGCAAAAGCTACGGCCATTTTCGTTCCCATGGCTGTTCCATGAGTTTGGAGGTTATCTTTTCCATTGAATTGGAACGAATTTTCTTGTAGAATCAGACTTAGCATTTCTCTTAAATACCTGGTAGGAATGGGAGGGTTTTCCTCATAGAATTCTTCGTATGCTTCGCGTACAGTGTGACTCCAAATCTATCTGATTTTGAGAGCCGACACGTGTTAAAAACTTACTGCCCATGCTTTGATCGTTTCATTATGCTCAAAGAATATATTCCCCCTTATATTCACAGTCTAACTGATTACGATCTAGTATAAATGAAAGCTTAACAAATGTGCGGTAGCTTACAGCACATTACTACCTCCAATCAAAGCCTTCTGATGATCTAGTCGATTAACGCGATTTTCATAGCTTAAATAGAAGAACTAAAAGGTACGTTGAAAAGAAATACAGTTTATGATTTAGAGCAATCAATGGAGATAAACTGATTAGAAAATTTACCTGGGCTAACATCGTCAACAAAGCCGCACTCCGCCAGATGAACGGCTGATCAGCCATATTGATCGTCCAGCAAAGCATGATGGGCTACTTTGTCGGTTTTGGTTTTAATGTTTATATTTAGGTTTTGGCTTTGGTTTTCATTATATAATTTAAAAGCAAAAAAAAAACTGAAAAGTAAAAATAAAAACCGATTTCTTAACCGAAAAGCGAAATGGCGAAGTGAAAATCAAAACGTTAAAAACGAAAACGGAAAAGTGAAAAATAAAAAGGAAATCACTATGTGGCCCCCCTCGGCTTCCGTAGTTGAAAGGCCAAACGTAAACACGACTCATAAGCTCGTGATAATGCGAAACGTGACCTTGAGAGTCTGCTTGAACCTTCTATCAAGTATTTTTTCAGCAGGGTAGGGTGGCTTTGGGCAAAGGATGTATCGGTCCCCAGAAAGGTCACCTCAGGACTCCCGGGATGGAATTTTTTGTACAGTGCCCAGGCCTCATTTTCTTGGCCGCGCGTTGATCTGGCCCGACTGCTTCGGCGAGCATATTCTCGGTCTGTTTGGATTATATCCCTCGAGTTAGTCAAAGTCTGTGGGATTCGTTTCTGTACCTGGGAAAGCTTCATTGGTTTTTATATCTGCTGCTATCCTATTTGTACGATCCTGGCATGTTTATTTTCCGTTGGAGTTCGAATTTCGTGGAAAAAGCTGTGTTGGAATGAGAGCATGTCGGCGAAAATGGCATCTCGTGTTTCCTACCTTGTATATTATTATTGTATATAGAGTGAATTTGAACAAATTACTGCAAATTATCACGAAACTTCGCTGGAGCAATAAGGACAGCAACAATTAACTGCAGAGTAAGTTTCATGGATCTTTATTTAGTATTTCCTAGAAATTTTTGGATGGTATTTTTACCCCATACAAACACTGTAATTTTACTGGAACCGTACTGTGGTACTATCACAGAGCCTGGGTTACCTGTGCTTGAACAGAGGTTTTTCTTCTTTTCTCTCTTGCGCGAAGGTTACTAGCACTACACAGTGCATGTAGCATTCTAAACTTTGACTGAGTAAATCTTGTTTTTGCCGCACTAAGTCTTACATTTAGAGGTCATGAAGCAGGTTTGTTACATGCATACTGAGTAATCATTTCCTGTGCTTTATGCTTCTGTTGGTGTTCCTGATAGGATTTGATTTCAGATGCAGTTGTAAAGTGTTTTAATTCTCTTTTCTTTGACTTCTGTTTGTTACGGC